CCTCTTTTCAGCCTCTGTCTGAAACGATCGGTTTTAGCTCCTGTCTCTTTAAGGCCCCCCTCCCGAAAAGCCCAGTCTGCTCTGATTGGTCAGCATTATGACGCGGATCACGCGCGGTGACGCTTTCTCGTTCGCGCGCTTGCACGCTTGTGGCGGAGCTTCGCTAGACAACAAGGAAGTAAACTACGGTGGGTCACAAGTTGATGACGTCAGAAATGGGGAAACGTCAGAAATGGGCAAAAAATCTGAATTGAGTGTTTTATCTCCTGTATTTTGACTGAGGCAGCCCACAAAAACATGACTGAGTCATCTTTTTTCACACTTTGCCTGCTGATAGGCCCTCCAGAGTCCCAAATGTACATAATCAAACAATTAAAAAGTTGGTTTTGCATAATATGTCCCCTTTAAATTTTGTTCTGAATGTGGATGTCGACTGTCAAGAAACAAACAACTGATGTCTGTTTCAACATTTCCTCTTCTTCATCTAAACTTCTCAGTTGCAACTAGCAGAAAACATTTGAATGGCAAAAATATTTAATCTTGATTCAAACATTAAAGTAATAGTGATTCATACTTTGTATCAAAATCTAAATTATGCTGACAAAACTTTCCAGGGTATTCATGGTTTGTGGAACCAATACAACACATGTTGGAAAATAGTGCTGCTGCTCTACTGGTTCAACACTAAGACCACACTGGACCTTTTTTGTTACTGAATCTTGAAAGCAGCCCAGACATAGCTCCTCTCTGAGTTTTAGTATGAACACTCTTGTGTGAATCACCTGATGTTTCTGTCTGCGCTTCTTCTCCTGCTCGAGCTTCTGCTGTTTCTCCAACTTTTCAGTCATGCGTGCCTCCCTCAGCGTCTGCCGCTTGCTGCGCCTGTAAGCCTTCGAGTTGAGGGCCGTCTCCAGGGTGGTGTCTCGCCTCATACATGCCACCACATCCTGCCTCAGCTGAAGATATGAGGTTACACATCAAATTCAATTTCTAGGTATGTAAACATTTAATGTTGAATAATAAGCAGAGCTAAAAAGAATAAAAAACTAAGCAATATTAAACATAATTTAATAAAAATGATATAGACTTATATATACTCCATGTCACATTCTCCCATTCACACACATTCACACACTGATGGCAGATGCAAGTTTCCAACTGCTCATCAGAAACTAAGTCATTCTCACACATTCATACACTGATGGCACAGCCTCTTGAGCAATTTAGGGTTCAGTATCTTGCTTAAAGTTAGTGTAAACTACATTATTATACAGTAAAATTACCTTTCATCACTCTTTACCTTTTGGCTGCTGAGGAACTTTGTTCATAAAGAGTAAACCCAGGGCAAAAAACGTACACCTACAGTGTGGATTCAATCAGCACGAGTCAATAAAGAAATGAGAAATGTGTCCTGACACTGTTTCAATGGTTGAACTCCCTCCCTCAAGTCGTTCTGGGTAAATTAACATTGAACAACATGAAATGGGGCAATTGCTGCATACCTGTCGCTGGAAGTTGAGTAGACGCAATGCCTTGAGCTCCACTGTAGCTTTAGTCCTCAGGTCAGGGGGCAGAGAGCCTGGTAAACTTTCCAGTTCCTGGATTCGATGTGCAATCCGAGCCTGCAATCTGAGGATCATGAAGATGACATGTCAAACTGTAACAAACTGGTCTCAGCAGGTCATTTTTTGAAATAAAACACAACTACCATGGAAAGACCACATAACAAAGGCATGACATAAGAAGTGTTGTATGTCATAAATAGGACAGACAGGAAAGGAAGTGGACAGAGGGGTACGATATGAAACAGGCTCCCTGGCTGGAATCAGCGTGATATGCACTACCTCGAGGAGACATCTTAAAATGTGTTGCTTTGTCCAAACGACAGTCCAAAACAAAAAGATATTCAATTTACAAAAAAAAAAAACAGTTCACATGCTCACTTTTGAGAAACTGGAATAAGAAAATGTTCAGCCTTTTTGTGACTTACACAATATATAGATTATTAATATTGTTGGTACATATTAGAGTATTGGTCTGACAGAATAAGTATTATGGAGGTTACCAGTATCGCCATAAGAATCAGAATCAGAATCGGGTTTATTGATCTAAATTAGAGCTAGACCCATTTTCTTTATCTGTATCAGGCTCAAAATAAAGTGTCTGCTAGGCTATAAAGAAAAATAAATCTATGATATACTGGTGAAATCCTTTGAACTATTATAGGGGAAATACTACTGTATTGTATGATACAACCGGTTTGTGAAGACTCTTTTTAGTACTGGTTGTCAAATATTCCTACTGTCACCGATTTAGTACAGTTGAGGACTCAAAATGCTAGTATGATTTGGGAGGATTGGCTCTCAATCCTCCCAAGCCAGATGAATATCTTTGTACAGCTATAAAAACACAACCTTGGCAAAATGTTTCTGTATGTTGAAATCTACAGCAAATACTCTGTGAGTTGCTTACTTTGTTTTCCTCATTACAATTCAACACCTGCTAACATTTCCTTGTTATCTAAAAAGAAAAAAGTTCAGGAAAGCAGAGAATCTGTACACAAATCGTAAATAAATATTTGGTAGTATTCTTATGCAAGTTACCTCACCTCGTACTAACCCAAGGGGAACATTGTATAATAACTTATGAACTCTGATTTGATTTTATAACTCTCAGGCTGCCAAAGATGTTTATCAATAAACTATCACAATGTAGCATGAATGTTGATGGGTTTTTTTCCAATACTTTCACAGAGGTACTGTATGTTCAGATGGCCCAATTAGACAGACTAGGTGAAAAGAGGTCAGCTCTCTTTGGTCTCTGAGTAATTCTTGACCAATACAGTTTGTCAAGGGTGATCTGAGAGCATGAAGAAGAGATCATCAAACCAAGAGCTTTGAAGTCGTATGAAGAAAAACAAGCCTTAAGGCCACAACAGGATTAAGTCTTCCTCAAATCTCCATCAGACGTCTCTGTTTCTAAAAAATGATACAGCCTCCGGCTGATTCATTTTTGTCCTTTTTTTTGTGTTTTCATGTTCGTCCTGACAGACGACGACAGTGAGTTGTGATTGTGTATGCACACAGCAACTTTACCAAAGACCATAGAGGCTCCAACACAAAACGTCCTTTACGTTATTTAGTTCAATGGTAACACATGCAAGATGGGACATTAGATTTCTGTGCCGCTTCCTTCACAGCTCAAGTCCAAATTAAAGCAGTTCAAAGGAAAGGAAATAAAACACCAACTCTCTCCCTCTCACTTTGTTATTGTGATTAGTGATAATGGGCTTTGTGATAAAATAAAAAATGACTTGACATGACTGTGACCCACACGTCTCCCGCTAGGTTCTTCAATCACTTACCTACTCTGAGCCAATTACCAAAACAACTTGGGACGTGAAGAAAGTTTCCGACTCTACCATGCACAAAGCAGCCTGAAATATTCGTTGCTCTATCAAATTTGATCTCAACTTACATTATTTCAACAAAGAGGGACATGGAAAAAAAAACTCTTTATACCGTCACTTGTTCCAGAGCTCCAACAACTGGTGGAATAAAATGTCTGTGGTATATGTAGGACCCAGAAGCTGCCACAGTCTTATAGTATCTTTACAATGCTGCTTGCTAAATATGTCCAACAAGGTGGAAGCTGAATTTAAAACTTTTAACAGCATAACACCTTACTTACAATGACTACCAATTAATGGCTGGTAAGTCTTCTTTCACATTAGTAATTAATCCGTAAATGATGTGGTTAATTTATTATAAAATCACATGATGGGCCATTTAATGACTGGTTAAATGATTGCTGAGGAAGCTCTCAAGATTAAGACTTGTTCAAGAATGTTATATGTAGTACATGTTCTGTATGTGATGTATGAGACCAGTGGTAATTAGGTAATGAAGATAAATACCTGTACTCTCTCTCTTGCAGGATCCCCACTGGGTCCAAGCCCTGGGGCTTCTGGATTGGCGTGACGCGGTTCTGTTTCTGCTGCATCTGGAGCATGGGGGACACCTGCTGCCCGGGAGGCTGAGGGGCAACTGAGCTGCCCGGCATGGGCCCAGCTGGCACAGCAGAGGCCTGAGGAGGTGCAGGGGATGGGCGTCCACTGGCAGCAGGGGTGAGGTGCTTCTGAGCATTGGCTTGATTTTCACCAACCTGACCTGGAGAGCAATGACTGTCTGTTATTGGGACAACTCTCAATGGGGGCAGGTAGATACAGATATGACCAGAATCACAAAATAATTCAATAATCATCATTTAATATTGAGTAGCTGCCAGTACTGATCCGATATTTGTGGGTTTTTTTTAGCTCTACCAGCTGTTCCTTAAGGTTTTATCGTTGTTTTTACACAATGAAGTATAAAATAAAAAACCCTCTGAACCCATTTTCAGTGCAACCTTCTTCCCCAATTTATAGGTAAGCATAACACTGTCCACGAGAGGGGAAAGGATTCCCTGCAAAAAAAACACAAAAAACAGGCATGTTTCTTTATCGAAGTACACACTTTAAAAAGCCTTTAACCACACATCGTTCTTCTTCTGGGTTTTAGATCCTGGTGAAGACTGGTGTGATGGCAATACACTGTGGTCTTGCACGGTTAATCTTGTAGCCATGATAATAAAGGCTTTTTAACTTTTGTACTTCAACAAAACAATGTGCCTTCATTTTTGGTGGTTATACTTAAAACTAAAAACTAATATTCTTCTTCCCTGGGCTCTTATCATTTCTCTATTTTGTGCCACCTTGTGTCCTCTCTCCTCCGTCCTCCTGCCTGTGACCCAAAATCAATTTAGCTTAATCAAGTGCCCCCTTAAAGGATGTCTCAATTCCTAAAATGCATCTGGATAAGAGAGGAGAGAAGAGCGAGGACAGAGGAGGCTTGTGGGGTTAGCAGTGAGCGAGGATACATAGGTGTATCCTTTGCAGAAGTCTATGACGTAAAAAAGAGCTGCGACGGATATATATACAAACCATGGCGGGAGCAGGACTGTACAAATGTAAGTGTTCATTTTGAATTCCTACGTTGTACTAGTTATTGTAGATTAAGGGAATAGTTATGATGAGATGATCAACTTTTCATACAAACATTTGTAGTGCTTCAGATAATAACATATTTAAAGTGTGTGCGTGCGTTAAATAAAAAAATAAAAATGTATGACATCTTTACATTCTTGTTACATTGAATCAAAAGTAAATATATAAGATGTCATGCACACTGTTATGCTCATCCGAAAGGGATCTTAAAATACAGAGGTAGACTATAACAAAACCAGATGATGCAGCTGTGCCACAGATCTTAATTGACGTTGCATTAAAATGACAGCTCCAAAACTGGGATGTGTAATTTTGTTAAACGCCTGTTGCCTCGACTCCTCTGTCCTTGTGTCTCTTCTTCGCCTCCTCCACTTGGATCTGAAGTTGGAGGGAGAAACGAGGAGAGGAGGCAAGGAAAGGAATCAAGGATGTATAAACTGAGAAATGAGAAGAGAGGCCTGTTTTACTGTCTGGTGCCTCATCTGGGACTAATTTGACGTCTTCCAGGAGCTATTGTTGTTTCGACTACCTAATTTCTTGTATTTATTCAGTTTTAAATTGACCTCAGTGGGAGTTGAGATTTTTTTCATTTTGGTATCTTTATGTTTATTTGACTATTACTTCAGATTTTCTCCAAACTTTTGTTGACATTTAAAACTTTAAAACATGTTTGTATAACGCAGCATTAACTTGTACCCCCAGAGTCTAATTGTTAGACTACTAAATTTAAATTATGGTTATATGTATTTCTATTGGCAGAAATATAATAATCATAGGTCATAGGTCATAATCATATCATTCGTGTATAATTACCTGACAATAAGAATAAAATTTGCTGTTTGTATCTACATAGGCAGCAGGTCCTCTTCTACGGAGTCCGCCATGTTGAACCACCATGTTTCTACAGTAGCCAAAAACGGACAAACCAAACACTGGCTGTAGATAGGACCTTTTGCGTTTTTCATGAGTTTCGCAGACACCAAAGTTTCTCAGTATTCAGTTGGTTGCAACTTGCAACTTCACCACTAAATCCTACACAGTTGTCCATTAAACAAATGCCTGTTCTTGTTGCTATATGTGTGGTAGTAACCTTGAGAGCTACAGACAACTTGGATGGATGAATGAATATATGAAATCCTTCAGAGGTGGATAAATCCTTTAATTTTAATGATGGCTATGATCCTTCCACCTGGGATCTCCTGGCACAAGGTCTAATGTTTTTAAAAATATTTATAAAAAGCTTCAAAAGCTTGGAAATCAAAGAATACATTTTTAATGTTTCCTAGAGAAACAAAAACTGAAAAAAGAGCAGCTTCAGTGGGAAAGACTCTTCTTACTACTTGGAATTGATTTCCATTCCACACTTCACTAACATTTTGCCCAGATTTCCATAAAATGACTTTGGGTGTTGTCACTGTATTGTATGTGTCCTGTTCATTAACAGTGCAGTTCAAAGCCAGGGAAGTACTCTTTAAGTCAACCTTGGATTGCAGCATCTTTCCACAATATCCAGTGCAGTTCAAAGAATTTACTTTAGTCTCCGTTCAAAGAGAACCTGATGTAAGACTACACATCAAACAGATGGGTGTAGCGTGGTCAGCTGCAAACCTTTCACTGGATTATGATGTGTGAAATGAAAATGTAGTAGTAGTCCACACATTCACTTAAAGGACCAGTGGGTAGGATTTAGTGCCATCTGGTGGTGAGGAACCAACTGAATACCCCTCACCCAAACCTCCTATTCCAAGGGTGTAGGAGAACCTGCAGTGCCTTTGAAACTCGCAAAAAAATATATTAAAATATTATATTCCATTTTTGCCAATAGATCCTCCTAAATGTTACACACTGGTTGGTAATTGGTCTACCAATTACACTGATAGACTTACCATCAGACCAAGGCTTGGGTCCTGTGCTTTGATTGTGTCCTTGCATGGTTGGGGTAGGGCAGGGACTTGACTGGGGACCACCCATAGGTGTCATTGGCATACCTTTCAACACAATAACAATTCATATATGTAATAATTAATCTTATGCATTTTCAAATTATGAGGTAATATTCTCTGGGCCTGTTTCATAATGTTATCATAATGTGATGAAATGGTAGCTACAGACTGACAAATGTGTTTTATTTGTTCATTTTGTTGCATGCTGTTTCCTTCTTGTTATTGATAATTGTCTTAATTCATCTTTATTCAAAAAAAGAGAATTGACAAACATTTTCCTTTTTTATCTCCCCCTCCCAACCTTACTGCCTACATAATACAAATCGATAAGACATTATCTATACATGGCAGTACCTGGATACCAAATTAGTAGTGTAATAAAATGGAATTGATCATTTTAAATTTCTTGCTTCTCAAAAATTTGCTGCTTTTCTGTTTCATATCATTGTAAACTGAATACATGTAGGTTTTGGACTGCTGATCAGATAAAACAAGTTATATTAAATAATAATTAATAATAATAATAATAATTAATAATAATAATAATAATAATAAAATACTTTGAATTGATTGTCTTTATACCCAACAATCTGTACCAATATCCCGTTACTTTCCATTTGACCATTTTAGGCCCATTTTAAACCACCAATAAACCCCCAAATGTTTCTCTGACAGTTCATTCTTATCAGGGTGGAAAAACATCTGACACTTTATAGATCACTTGCCACAAAACACCTCCATAAAACAGTGCAATAATTACAGCAACAAACACTAACAAACAATATAAACATCACCAGAAAGAAATATGACAAAATATGTATGTATATATAATTATAATCATTTTTGGATTTGGGATGCATCAGGCAACCACTGTGATACTGCATAATTTCCATCATATGTTTTTCACGACACACATTGGCGGATATCATATTTTTTAATATTAGCAACAAACATTACATTTATAAAAGAATTTGTTAGAAATACCAAATATGTTGTTAGTTTATTTGACACCAAAATTGTGTTTGACTGAGTGTTACCATGAAAAACATCTCTCACACTTAAAAATGATTTGGATTTGGGAAGCTTGAATTTATCAAGTCTCTGGTTATGATTACACCTGTATTTAGAGTGCAAGCTGACACTTTGTTCATGTCAGACTACATCAACTGCCAGGTGATATTACAGGTGTGGAAGCTCTCAGGGCAGATCTTGGTCACACTGAGCTATAAACCGTTCATGTTTTGAGGTGGCATGGCTCACATTCAACGGAGGACACGGAGCTGTCAAGTATGTTCAGATCTGTTGCGTCGGATCACAAAGTCACAAAAAATACCATGCCAATTCTGGTTTATCTTTAAATTTTTGGAGAACGTTCTCTGTGACAAGACAATCCTGAACAACCGAGATTCATCTGCTCATAATAAAGCAACCCAAAGAACTAAATTAACCTGCTTCTGTCACTTCACAACTATATGTTCTTACCTGCAGGCCTGTTGTAAGGACTAGCACTAGGTGCCTGCTGCTGCTGCTGCTGCTGTTGCATTGTGGGTAGGCTCCTCTTGCCCTGAACAGCTAGTTGGAGGTTTTCAGGCAGGGGTTGCCCACGGCCTAGGATCTTGTAGGCCAGGATCTGAGCTCTGAGCTGCTGCAGCTGGACCGGACTGAAGGCAGAAGGTCCGCGCCCCTGCTGGGCCATGTTGGACATGTTGGACATGTTGGGCATGACTCCCTGGGGATCCATCGGCATCATAGGGCCTGACTGGGAAGGAGGCATGTGGGGCGGTGTAGGTCCACCACCACCTCCACCTCCTGACATGGGACTAGAAGCATGCTCATGCACACCCATGGGGGATGGATGTGGGGATATGTATCCTACAGTAGACAGGAAGGACTTTGTTACTTAATAATTTCACATACTCAGAATTCGCATTAATACTCTTAAAGCAGTAAATAAATCTAAGGGGCTAAAACATTATTTAAAAGACAGAAAAGCAGAAAATACATATTTTTCTGACACAAAACTGGGCTATTTGTTTAAGACTTTCCTCTAATATTTGCTTTTTTTT